TTACATTAAAAGTTTGATTATCCCATTGTATTATTTGGAGCAATTGCCGCTGGTATGTATTATAAAAAAAAGAAAAATCTTCGCTATTCCACATGATGGAACACGTACTCTTCTAAAGCCTTTTCCTTAAGAATTCTTCTTAAAATCTTTCCAGATGCACTTTTTGGTATTTGATCGATAAATAACAAATCCTTCAACCTCTTATGTGGTGCCACTCGGTTAGAAACATATTCCTTTATTTCATGAATTGATTCTTGCGACCTTTCGTAGCCTGTTTGGGGTACAACATAGGCCAAGGCATATTCGGTGGCATCGGCTTCACAATAAACACCAATTACAGCGGCATCCAACACTGCTTGGTGTGAAATCAGGATCTCTTCCAGTTCTGCAGGAGGAACCTGAAAGCCCTAGTTTAAAATGCACAAAAGATATTAAAATGTGTTAGAATGTTATAGAAAAAGACTATGGTATACCTTATATTTTATTAACTCCTTGACCCGATCGACAATATACAAGTTCCCTACAAAATAAATATTAAATTTAAATTAATTGGTCCGTATTAATAATGAAAAGTTGTCACTCACCTTGCTCATCCATAATAGCGACATCTCCTGTGTGGAAAAATCCATCTTTGTCAATTGCCGCATCAGTTGCGGCTTTATTGTTTAGATATCCCTGCAGATTGATAATATCAAATACTTCAGTAATGCTTATTATACGAGACTCAGAGAATAGTCAAAACTTTAGAACAGAAACCTTCATTATGTTAGGACCCCGAACGCACAATTCTCCACGTTCATTATACCCTAATTCTATATAAAGAAAGGTGTGGTTACAATAAAATCGTTTTATGGTGCTACATCATGAAGTAAAATAGATTGCCTTTTCCATCTTCAGAAATTATCTTTGCCTCTATGTTTGATACCAGAATTCCGGAAGAACCTTTAAAAAATAGGTTTTTATTTTAACGAGATTCAAATTTTTTGTTTAATAATTTTTTTTGCGGATAAATACCTTTAACGATGTTTGTATCTTCAGAATAACTAATGACAGGAGATGTTTCCGTGAGCCCTTAAATAAAAATCAAATATTATTTAAGTTATAGAAAAATCAACTTTACTACAAAATTCATCAGTTACCATATCCTTCCTTGATGGAAATCTTATGAATATTATATAAATCATCCATTAATGATTTACTAAGCGGTGCAGCACCACTAACTATCGTTCGTAAACTTGACAAATCATATTCTTTAACAATTGGCTTTTTAGCTAATAGTAACACTATTGGGGGTACGAGGTTTGCATAGCTAATCTTGTAATCTTGTACTATGCGACAAAATGTTGTTAAGTCAAACTTTGGGATTACTACTAGGGAAGCACCCTTTTATAAAAAAAATTATATTAATATTGCATTTAATCAAATTCTTTAGTATTATATTTTTAGTGCGAACTAGTAATTACCAAAACTAGAATAAAATGGAGGTGCATAGTTAACCCATATATGTGGAAGAACGGCTGTAGATCGGTGATAAATCAAGATGTTGCGATAAGAATCTTATCTTTGACGATAGCAAAATAATGTACAGTGGTAAAGGAAAGCATACCAATATACCCACGAAAACGTCGTTTTTATTGAGATTCTTTTCAAACGAAATCATCTGTGATGCGTTTGCAACCATGTTGGTGTGAGTAGTTTCAACGCCTTTGCTTTTCCCGGTAGTTCCTGAACTATAACATAAAAATACTGTGGTGTTCTTCGACTCTTCTGGCGTGTATTTTACAGGTTCAAACTCTCGATCCACAAATAACCTCCTGTAGGGTTGGAGACCGTCAATCTCTTTGTCTCCGAATACAAATATTTTAGAATGAGGAATTCCAGCCTCGGTAGCAGCTTTAACGACTGCAGGAAGGGCGAGAGGATGTGATACAACAACGGAGGCACCAGAGTTGGAAAGTTGGAATGATACTTCAGCGACATTATATGTCGGATTCACGGGAGACACTATGCCACCTTGTAAAATAAAAGAAATTAAGAATGAATGATAACGAATAATAGTTACGTAGGCTTTTGTACTTTTTTTTTTTTTATAATACATACCAGCGGCAATTGCTCCAAATAATACAATGGGATAATCAAACTTTTAATGTAAAGAGACGTATTAGTAAGAAGAAATTAAACAAGAATAAGTTATCACATGTTATCTAATAATCACCTGGTTGGGAGAAACAATCGACAAAACATCACCCGGCCTAAATCCCACTTTGTCATGTAATCCCGCGGCAAATTTCCTTGTTTCACTTTTAAATTCTCCAAAAGTTATCCTTTTATCCGTTATCCCATCAATAAATATAACTTTATCGTCAGAAATATTATTAGGATTACTCGTTATGAATTGATAGACTCCGACAGGTGGAATTTCGATATCCGGGAGTTTTGATTTAAAAATCATCTTATCACTATAGTCAATTTCTGGGGGGACTAAAGTTCAATTCATGAATTTATATAGTGTTTTGACCATTGCGGCTACATACACACAATACTTTACTTACATGTGCTCACGTACACAAGTTACACCTGTTGATACGGTATAGATTGAAGCTCATGAGTTAAACAAGGCTGTCTATGTACAATTTTCGCCGTCCATGGAGATTGTACAATCACCACAGAAATTAACGCCCGATTTTTACTACGTATAACCTTAATAAAGAAAACCAGTCTTTGGATGCGATTTTTATACATCATTAAAAATTCCCACTTTAGTACATTATTTTTTTTTAATCTATAAAAGGAAACCCTTAAAATAAAAATTCTCGTACATCAGTTTCTTTTTTTGTAGTTACAATTAAAAAATTTTTTTAGCCCAAATAGCGTTGGCGGAAAATTCTTCCGTGGAGATTTTTTACAATAAAAAAAAAGGAAATTGTTTTTTGTCAACTCTCATAAAAGAAAATGTATGTATTGTATGACAAATGTCATATCGAATGTCGTATTCGGAAGGATTAGCATAAAATAAACTTCTCCCATTCGATTTACCAAAATCACGTGAGTTTAGTAATTCCGACGAACTCCGAGAGCCATTAAGTATACAGTATATTTTTTTTTAACCCGCAATCATGACAAATAGGCTTGTCTTTATTAAGATACTTGAGAAAATACCAAAATAATCTGCAGACCTTCTCATGTAATGATTAACTTATCTTTGTACATTATTAGTTAAAGAATTATACTACTTAAAAAATATGAGATGTCCATTAAGCTAATTTGAACTAAACAAAATTAAGTCTTAATTAGGTACTTTAAGTCAGTTTTAAGGACAATATTATTCTCTCCTAGTAGTTTGGCATAGTGTCTTTAAGTCAACCAGAGTCATTGTCAATAGTTTGTCATTATTAATTATTTTGAAAATAATAAATTATTAAAGTTGGAACTAGAAAAAGAAAAAAATAAAAAACAATTCAAACCCCTTCAAAAGATTTTTGCTTCATTTTACAACCTCTTCTTAAAAGGAATCTTGCTTATTGTAATATTCTTTTTTGTTTCATTTTGATATCGGAAGAAATTTTTTTTATCACTATTTGTGATATCAAATAAGTTTTTATTTAAACATATATTGAATTCAAATAATCCAAGAGAAACTAAAAGATCTTAGCTTTTACCTTAAAAATTTTTTTCATCACCTGAAGAACTTAGAGAAAGAATAGAATTTTTTTGTGTAAATTTATTTCACCTTTTGGTATTATAACTGTTTCTTAAAATTGAATATATATAATTGTAGAGAACTTTTTCTAGAACTTTTTTTTCTATATTACCCATGATTTTTTTTTTTAACCTACAATCATGCTGCAATGGCATATCTTTATTGAG